AAACTCGATGTAAGCATGTTATTATTATCTCAGTCATTTTTCATTCACTCTGACCGAAGGTCAACACTTCCACTACAACACTACGTGCGAACAACCCTGAGCCGATCCATGGCTAAGTCCTCTTAGAATTGTAACACACGACGTCCCTGTGACCGTCTACATCTATTTCAGGGAGGGGGCCATTCGAAAGCCCTCGAAGTTGCTTTTTGGCAACCCATAAGGGCGACGTTAGTGTTAACGGGAGTGGAGTGTTGGCCCCGCCCTCGCTTGGGCAATGCCGACGACTTGGTCGGATGTACGGGAGTTGCAGCCGACCGTTCACAGTGGGAGAGCTGCTCGACATGCTTCGTCGAGCTGCAGGGGACCGCTGTGGTGTTGCTGTCGACCAGGGAGCTCGACAACAGCAACTGACTGGGCTGGGCGACGGGCGGGCCGTCGACCAGGAGGGGCAGTTCGACCGGGAGGTCGACGGAGTAACCGTCGACCTGACAAGTGAGCAGCGGTCGACGAGGGGAGCTCGGCGACAACCGCTGACAGTTCTGGTCGCCGGAAGGGGTCCGTCGACCAGGGGGCAGCTCGACGGGAGCTGTGGTCGACCAGGGGCACCTGGTGGTCGACCAGAGGCACTGGTGGTTGACCAGAGCACTTGGTGGTGTCCAGGTCGACCGGGTAACCTGCTCGACGAGTTCTGCGGAGGCACGCGAACGTCGTCGAGGCCACGATGGCGAAGACGACTTCGGATTGGTATCCCGAAGTCGATGTGGCTCGTCAGGCGCAGACAACAGCCGACGGATGCACAACAATGCAAGTCGGACCAATCGTCTGCGCGCACCCGCGAGTGTGCGCACTGCTGTCTTCTACGGGGCAACGCTGGACAGCCGCACTACTGCAGCGTTGGCAAGCCGTCGACTTGCAGAGCTGGCGCTGCTCCTCTACGCAACGCTGGCAGGCGGTCGACCAAGCTGTGCTGGCGGTCGACCAGGCTGGCTGCAGGGTTGCTAGGTGCCTGATGTAGTCATTGTTACAATTGCTTGTTCAATTATTCAGGAATTCCAACTTTGCTAGTGGAAACTCTTGCCAATTTCTCCCGTGAATGTGCAAGCACTAAGGAACCAAGCAAAGCTACGATCACTCCTAGTAGTTCGTGCCAACCCCCGTAGTCTAGCTCACTACCGTTGTAGAGTGAATCTCCGCAGTTAGGTTGTACAACCGTAGCAAACTTAGTTTCGTCATAGTGCAAAACGTTTAAAGATGGAAACCGTTTTCCATTATGCGGAAACACCGTGGTCCACGATATAAGTTTTGTAATCTTGTGAAAATTGTAGGTGCTGTTCGCCAGCTCCTGTGAAGCAAAAAACCACGGGATAACGACGGGATCAGGAAGGTGGGTCTCGCCTTCCTGATCCCGTCAGTTAGGGTTCGTTTACCTCCGTCAGCCTGGTCAGCCCGTAAAAAAGGTGTCGAGCCTCCCCTAACGTCCAAACCAACAATCAAAATGGGTGTCTGGCGAACGCCCCCATTTGTCCACCAAAACGAACTGCTCGACGACATATGGAAGCGGGGACGCAACTTCGTCACCAGGCAAAATTCCATCCCCAAGCCATGCCATCGCCATGCCGCATTTTTCAAAGCACAGCGATGGCACAGCCGTCGCATTGCCGTTTCGCGCCATTGGGGGGAAGGTGGGGATGGAGGTTCCCGATGCGGTTGCGTAATTTCGCCTTTCGGGCGTAAGAAGTTACTCGCGCGGCATTGCGCCCAAACCTCGGAGGAGGGTTCCGCCCCCGTTTCCATATGCGGTCGCGATGCCGATGCCATCTTTTTCTGTTCAAAAATCGATTTGCTGGCGAACAGCACCGTAGTACCTGACGTCGCCCTGACCTTTCTGAATGAGGCTGGCGAGGTGTTGCAGTTCTGTGTGTTGGAGGTCTGTTCTTGCGCAGCCGAACAGAGCCGTGTCAGCGAAACGTGCGAAAACCAGTTTTGTTGCGAACTCCCACTGCGTCTCCTCGTGCTTGACGAAACGCTCGCGAATGCATCCGACACTCGTTGAATCAAAAGAACGTGTTCCCGCCTTTCGTTTGACCCTCAAAGTAGGAGGGATCACTGGAAACGGAATCTGCTACAGCGCCCACAAACACGCCAGCAAACACAACGAGAACCACCAAACAAGCTCCCAAGGCTGAAACCCCAAGCTGCTACCCTACCAAACCTCCCCGAGCGTGGAATTTTAGCGAAGCTCGTTGCAGTTTCCTAGATACTTCCGGAGCCTTATAAGGTGTATTTCTGACGCGTGGCGTCTACCGCAAGCGCGGTTCGATCGTGACCCGCTTTTCGTGCGTCTTTCGAGGTTATTTTCGAACCTATTTTATTAGGTGTGCTGGGATCATCATCAATTATAGTAGCTATTGCTGATACCCGGCCAGGGAAGTGGTTGCAGCGTTTTGACACGCTATCGCTAAGTGCAAGAGCTATCGTGGATCGCAATGTTGATCAGCATATTGAGCTTGTAACGAGTATCGCGATGTGTCAGGTGGTCGATATTGACTGCCACGTGACGTCGTCGTTTTGCATCCGCCATCCCGTTCTCCCATCTGCATCTCATCCATTCTCCCATCCTCATCTCCTCTCGTTATCATCCTCCCGTTTACCCTTCCCCTTCTCCTCCCGTCCGCCCATCCTCATCTCCTCCTGTACTCCCTTCCGCATCTCCCCACGTCCTCATCATTTTCCCCCGTTTCCTCTTCCCCTTCTTCCGTCCTCCCATCCTCATCTCATCCATTCTCCCTGCCTCAACTTCTCCCGTCCGCCCATGCTCTCGTCGCCCCTGTTCACTCCTTCCCAATGCTCGCTATCTTCCCCTCTTCCCTGAAAGAAACCGTCCTGCTCCTAGTGACGCCACAGAATCAACTTGGCGTGTTAGAGGCAGAGCCTAGGATCAAACTGTCGGGCTCGGAGCAAGGATTCCGTAGCACTTGGGATCACAGAAATCGCCCAAGAGATGAGAGAGATATTGCTTATAAGGCACAAATGGGTACAAGTTACGAATTGAAGTTAACTCTCTGGTTTTGCTCTCTGTTTTTATAGCTAAGACATGCAAGCAAATTTGTAACACCGAACCGCGCGCGACTCGCTAGAAATTCGGACTCAGGATTGCGTCCAATTTCCGCGACGTTGCCGGGTTCATTTCAACACGCCAAAAACGTGTGTTACACGAAACAATTGCGAGTGTAGCGAAATGTTCCAAACATTCGCTTGCACTCTCGCTATTTTCGTGTGTGCTTTGTGGGGCTGCCAAGTGTCGCCCTCACAAATGTTCGGACCCAACCGGGGGAAGTTCGGTTGCGTGGCGACGCGGACAATCCGCCGTCACCCCAACCTTCCAAGAACAAACCCTCCCTTGGTCCGAGTCAAGGGAGGTCTTTTGCGTGGGGGGCAATCCCGTCCCCCACACTTCCAACACTCCCCCTTGCACCCCACGCACACCTAAGCATGCAAGCCTACCCTAGCACAACATGCATGGAGCGCATCTCTAGGCAATGGCTTGGTGAGGAAGTCCGCGGGTTGGGAGTTGGTCTTGATGTAACGAAGCTCGACTTCGTTGTCTTCAACGAGCTTGCGAATGAAGTGGTGGCGGATTTGAATATGCTTGGTCCTTCCGTGAAGGACCGAGTTCTTGGCTAGGCCAATCGCGGCTTGGTTGTCCACGTAGATAGGAGTGGGGCCTTCTTGTTTGTGCCCAAGCTCGGCAAGAAGACGCCTTAGCCAAACCGCTTCCGTACCACCACGAGTGAGCGCCACGTATTCCGCTTCGGTGGAGCTAAGTGCAATCAAGTTTTGGCGCTTGCTTTGCCAACTTATTGCACCTCCCACGAGGGTGAAGATATAGCCCGAGGTGCTTTGGCGGGTTGAAGGATCTCCCGCCCAATCCGCGTCGGTGTAGCCTTGTAGCACCACGGGTCCCTTCTCGTAGTGCAACCCCATACGAGTGGTCCCCTTGATGTAGCGAAGGACACGTCGTGACGCACGCACATGCTCGACCATGGGGTTGGACACCACGCGTCCAAGCACTCCAACGGGAAAGGAGAGGTCGGGTCGCGTGCTCACCGCGGCATACATGCACGACCCAACGACCGAGTGGAAGGTCTTGGCGCTCTCGGGATCCATCGGGTTCTCGTCGCTCACGGCCAATGGATGAAACCCCGCTTCCATGGGTGTCGGTGTAGGCTTGCTCTCGATCATGCCGAAGCGATCCACCACACTCTCCAAGTACTTGTGTTGGTGGAGGGCGAGGGTCTTGTTCCCTCGATCACGATCGATGTGCATTCCTAGGTAGTGGGAGACGGCGCCGAGGTCACGCATGGAGAATTCGGCGGCAAGCTTCGTCTTCACGTCCGCTACAAGGGTCTTAGAATCCGACACGAGGAGAAGGTCGTCGACGTAGAGGAGAAGAACGAGCTTCTTCTCGTCCTTGTTGAGCACGTAGAGCGCGTGGTCACACTCGCTCCGCACGAACCCCAACGAGAGTAGGTGTTCGTCAATCCTCGTGTACCACGCACGAGGGCTTTGCTTGAGGCCGTAGATGGTTCTCTTGAGCTTGCACACGCGGTCGGAGTCGTCGTCGAACCCGGGAGGTTGCTTCATGTACACCTCCTCCTTGAGACGACCGTAGAGAAACGCCGTCTTCACGTCGAGTTGTTCCACCTCCAAGTCGAGTGCTCCCGCCAACGCCAAGAGGGTGCGCAACGTAGCGGACTTAGCGACGGGAGCGAACGTCTCGTTGTAGTGAAGACCCTCTTTTTGAGTATAACCTTGCGCCACCAACCGCGCCTTGTACCGCTCCACTTCTCCGTTGGGGCCGAGCTTCTTCTTGAAGACCCAACGAGAGCCAACGAGGTAGGCGCCGGGAGGCATGGGGACAAGCTCGTAGACGTCGTTCGCCATGAGTGAATCATACTCTTCTTGAAGCGCACGTTCCCATTCCGCCGCTTCTGCCGAGCTCATGGCGCCGTGGTAGGTGGACGGGGTGTCGGTGTACGCCTCAAGACACATAGCGTCTCCCCCTCCCTCATCGTCCCCCGCCACGAGAGAGTAGTAATCGAACTTGGAGTTGGGATGAGGGTTCCTTCGAGTGCGAGTGGATGCGAGGGTGGGAGTGATAGTAGGAGGAGGAGTCGAAGGGTCACGTTCCTTGGCATTTCCTTCATCCTCACTCACTTCAACCACACCCGATCCATGCTCCCCCTCACTCGCACTAGGAGGAGGAGCCGTAGGAGCTTCATCCGCCTCATCCACGGCATCCAAGGGTGGAGGGACGATGATGACCGAGGGCACGTTCGTAGACTTGGAGGGGAAGGTGTCTTCGTAGAACACCACGTCGCGCGACACCACGAGTTTCCCGTGCTCCAAGTCCCACACGCGCCACCCCTTGTGATCCGCGCTTGGACCCAAGTACATCGCCACCCGCGCCTTCGCCTCAAGCTTGGTCCGTGTAGCATCCGGGACATGGTAGTAGCACGTACACCCAAACGTGCGAAGGTCGGTGACGTCCGGCTTCGTACCGCTCCAAGCCTCAAGAGGCGTCTTGTTGGGCAACGCCTTGGTCACGCACCGGTTGCGAATCCAAGTTGCCAACGTAACCGCCTCTCCCCACCAATGCTTCTCCGCGTGAGCATGGGAGAGGAGACTCCGCGCCGACTCCATGAGCGTGCGATTCAAGCGTTCGGCGGCTCCATTTTGTTGAGGCGTGTACGGCGTAGAAAACTCATGCGCGGTCCCACGCCCTTTCAACCAATCGCCGAGCTCCCGAGCGGTGTATTCGCCACCTCCATCCGAGCGAAAGCGCTTCACCTTGAAGCCGCTTTCCGTCTCCACATCCGCGACCCATTGCTTGATGGCGGTTGACGTGGCGTCCTTGTGCTTGAGAAGCCGAATCCAACACATCCGTATCGCGTCGTCGAGAAGCTTGAGGACGTAGCGCGCGCCGCCCTTCGACGCGGGAGTGATGGGTCCACACAAGTCCGTGTGAACGAGCTTGAGAGGTTCGGTGGCGTTCGGCTTCGTGCTTGGTGGAAATGGCTTCCGTGCCATTTTCCCTTCGAGACAACCGACACACTTCTCATCGTCTCCACCCGAGCGCACAAACTCCAAGCCGTTGACAATCCCCTTCGTTGCCATGGCTTGAATAGCGTCGTGGTGGAGGTGGCCCAACCGATTATGCCACGTTTTGAGAGTGGTTGTCGAGGTAGCCGCTTGAGCCGTCGCCACACTTGGGAGGGCATCGAGCATGAAGAGTCCTCCCGTTTGGCGTGCCGTGCCGATGTGTACGCCATCCGCCGTGCTCAACGCCATCGTGGTCCCTTCGATATTCACACGCATCCCCTTGCATGTGAATTGGGAAACGGAGAGGAGGTTGGCGCCGAGCCCGGGAACCACCAAGACGTTCTTGATGGTGAGTGGACCGCCGTCCACCATGAGCCGCAAGTCGCCTTGTCCCGTGACGTCCAACGTGTCACGGTTGCCGAACATCACGCGCTTAACGGGAGCCTCCGTTGTCACGTTGTTGAGAAGCGTTGCACACACCGTCATGTGTTGAGTAGCACCCGTGTCGAGTACCCACGCGTCAATACCACCGACGGTCGTTCCACTTGCGACGAAGACGAACTCCCGGTCATTGTTGTCGCATGTCGCCTCATGCGCGCGCCGGTTGTCGTCATTCGACGGCTTCCAATTCGCCGGCTTGACGGGACATTCGCGCCACCAATGTCCGGTCTTCTTGCAAAAACGACAAGCTCCGTCGCGCGTCCGAGCTCGATTGGCGTTGGCCGATCCTCCACGTGAGGCCGCCGCACTCCCGCTCGAGCTCCCGCGGTTGTTGCCGTCGTTGCGCCGCTTGAAGTGACTCGTCCCTTTCGCCTTCGCATCGCGGGAGAAGTGTGCCGCGCCGATTGCATCGCCATGCAATTTCGTACGCCTTGCCTCTTCGTTGATGAGACGTGCCACCACTTGCTCCTTCTTCCACGTGTCTTGCGTCCCATCCAACATCGTGATCACGGTTGACCACGCTTCACCGAGGCCCGCGAGGAGCGTCATGATCCAATCGTTGTCCTCCACGCTCGCGTCGAGTTCCACCAAGCGCTCGCCAAGCTCCTCCACGCGGTTGACGTACGCGCGCATTGACTCGCTGTCCTTCATCCGCACCGTGAAGAAGTCGAGGCGCGCTTGAAGCTTGCTATGAAGCGACTTGGAGACGTGCTCTCCTTCGAGTCGCTTCCACGCTTCACGAGTCGCACCTTCACGGTCGATGCACGGACTCACGATCGGGACGAGTTGGAGGCTTAGCTTGGAGACAAGAAAGGCAAACGCCTTTTTGTCCTTTCGCACCCACGCTTCCTTCTCCGCGGTTGAAGCGTCCGAGGTGGGTTTCGATGCCGACCCATCGAAGAAGCCCCACAAGTCGCGCTCCATCATATACACCTTGAGCTTGAAACGCCATGAGGAGAAGTGCTCCCCGTTGAAAATCGGCACCCTCTCAAGGCGACAACGTGCGGTGTTGTCGAGAAGTCCGTCGGGAGGGAAGGGGCCGTTGGCGCATTCGTCGTCGACGAATTATCGGAGGAACCCATGGCGTAGCAACGATTGAGCGAGCACTCCTACTCTAGCTCTGATACCATGAGAGAAACCGTCCTGCTCCTAGTGACGCCACAGAATCAACTTGGCGTGTTAGAGGCAGAGCCTAGGATCAAACTGTCGGGCTCGGAGCAAGGATTCCGTAGCACTTGGGATCACAGAAATCGCCCAAGAGATGAGAGAGATATTGCTTATAAGGCACAAATGGGTACAAGTTACGAATTGAAGTTAACTCTCTGGTTTTGCTCTCTGTTTTTATAGCTAAGACATGCAAGCAAATTTGTAACACCGAACCGCGCGCGACTCGCTAGAAATTCGGACTCAGGATTGCGTCCAATTTCCGCGACGTTGCCGGGTTCATTTCAACACGCCAAAAACGTGTGTTACACGAAACAATTGCGAGTGTAGCGAAATGTTCCAAACATTCGCTTGAACTCTCGCTATTTTCGTGTGTGCTTTGTGGGGCTGCCAAGTGTCGCCCTCACAAATGTTCGGACCCAACCGGGGGAAGTTCGGTTGCGTGGCGACGCGGACAATCCGCCGTCACCCCAACCTTCCAAGAACAAACCCTCCCTTGGTCCGAGTCAAGGGAGGTCTTTCGCGTGGGGGGCAATCCCGTCCCCCACACTTCCAACACTCCCCCTGATCACTATATCCCCCCCTGATCACTCTATTCCCCCCTTATCACCCTCTTCCCCTATCATCACCCTCTTCCCCCTGCTCACTCTCTTTCCCCCTGCTCACTCTCTTTCCCCCTGCTCACTCTCTTTCCCCCTGCTCACTCTCTTTCCCCCTGTTCACTCTCTTCCCCTCTCCACCCTCACTCCCCCCCTGTTCACTCTCTATCCTCCTGCCCATTCCGTCCTTACCTCCACGCTCGTCACAGCCAGGGTCCCTGCCGCTAGTTGACATGCAAGCTTCAGCCAGGGTCGGACCAACTGGCACACCAGTTGCCTGTGAGACGAGTCTTCTTTGCCAGGAGGAGACCACACAGTTGGAATACAGTAACATGCATGGCAATGGCAATGCTGCTGTATTTCGTGCCCCCATTCCCATCGGCAGTCAATTGCCGCCATCGCACCCTTGGACCCCCGTCGGCTCTTTCGCCAACCCTCCACGCCCACCCTTTGCCGAACTTCCACGACCACCCTTTGCCGAACCTCCATGACCACCCTTCGCCGAACCTCCGCGCCCACCCTTTGCCAACCCTCCACGCCCACCCTTTACCGACCCTCCACGCCCACCCGTTGCCAACCCTCCACGCCCACCCTTTGCCGAACCTCCACGCCCACCCTTTGCCAACCCTCCACGCCCACCCTTTACCAACCCTCCACACCCACCCTTTGCCGACCCTCCACGCCCACCCTTCGCCGACCCTCCGCGACCACCCTTTGCCGACGCTCCACGCCCTCCTCTGCCGCCCAACGGCTCTATTCCCAGTGAGCCCCCTCGTGCAAGAAGAGGGCTAATGAGAACCTCCCCAAAGTGGGACGATGACCTCACAGCCGACCTCCTCCGCTGTGTCATAGCGGCCATGAGGGACGCAGGCAGGGCTACCTTGGCCAAAGTGCACTGCTGGGATGCTGTGTTCGCCCGGTGGAATGCTCAGCATGCTGACCTCAACTTCACGGAAGCACAACTGCGAAACCGGCTCCAATTGGTGAAGATGTGGGTGAAAGACATTAGGCAACTCAAGTCAAGGGTGCGCCCGGGTGTGACTTGGAACCCCGCTACCGATCGCTTTGACCTGCATACCATGATAAGCCTCCCACGCGGCGCTGCCTGTCTGTCTCCTTGTGTTGACTTGACAGTGACTCACAACCTGTGTCCTCCTTGTGTTGAGAGTGACTGACAACTTGAAAAGGGCATTTAAATATTTGTACCTACCACTCTCCTTCCATTCCTTATTGTGTAGGTTCGTGATTCTGATGATATCACGAAGGATGGTAAATGGGATGATTACACACGGTGGGTGTACCACACCGCACCGTGGCTTAGCCTTGGCGAGCAGGTTGTACCCAAATCCCGGTTGCGTGGCAGCGGCTATGCATTCACAATGACAGGGGATGGCGACAGGTACTACTCAGACGGCCCAGATGGAGACGACGTCTCGAGTGGGGATGAAGTGGCGGATGCAGCGCACGATAGAGGCCGGCAGCGCCGCCGCCTGGGACTTGAGCAGACCAGTCCTCACCCGTCTGCGCCTTCGAGTGCCCCCGGATCCCATTTTCCTGCATCCGCAACCCTCGCACCTGCAGCATCCCTCGTTCCCCCACACGCTGCATTCCCACCCCCTGCTCCTGCTGCAAGCCCCACTACTGCACCCGCTGCACTCCCGTCCATTGCAAGTAGAGGCCCAGCTAGAACCACCGCCACTGGAATAAGGTCATTCCCAATGTGGACTGATGACCTCACAGCGGACCTCCTCCGCTGCGTCATAGCGGCCATGCGCGATGCAGGCAGGGCGCCCTTTGCCAAAGTGCACTGCTGGGACGCTGTGTTCGACCGATGGAATGCGGAGCATGCGGATATGAACTTCACGATGGAGCAGCTGCGGAACCGGCTCACTGCTGTGAAGGCGTGGGTGAAAGACATCAGGGAGCTTAAGTCGTGGGTTCGAGAAGGCGTGAACTGGAACCCTGCACGCGATTTCTTCGACCCGAGTATCATGGTGAGTTGGAGTTGTTTTGGAAAATTCTCAAGAAGTAAGCCTCCTAGGCACTGCCCGTCTCCTTTTGTGGACAATGAATTACAATTTGAAGAGGGCAGTTCTATTTTTTACACCACCTCTCCTCCCCATTCCCATATCATGCAGGTTCGTGATGTCGATATCCCTCCGCGTAAATGGGATGATTATAAGCGGTGGGTCACCCACACCGCACCGTGGCTTAGCCTTGGCGAGCGGGTGACGCGTCATGGCAGCCACACATGCACCACAGGGGATGGCGACAGGTATTACTCAGACGACCCAGGTGGAGACGACCTCTCGAGTGGGGATGATGTGGCAGATGCAACGTATACAGACCCCAATCCCGCACCCGCAGCATCCCCTGACCGCGCACATCCCGCCCTCCCCCTTATGCCTTCCCCTCGCCCTCCCTCCATCCGCCCCCCCTTGATCTCCCCGTGCCCCCCCCACGCGCAAACACATATGAGCTTGGGTTTCTGGGCAATGGCTCGACAGGCAGGGGCGGTGCCACGCTCGCAGGCACAGGCACGGGCACAGGCATGGGCACAGGCATGGGCACAGGCACGGGCACAGGCACGGGCGCGGGCGCGGGCATGGGCACAGGTATAGACACAGGCACAGACACGGGGTCGCGCGAACGGGGGGAACAGGCATTGCAAGCGGCAATGGGTGGGCGATGTGGGACGACGAGCAGACAACGACTCTTTTGGAGATCATTCGCGATGTGCTACACGCTCAGGGCAGCACCTTCCCTGGCAGGATCGAGGACTGGGGGGTGGTGCACCGCGAGTGGTTGCGGCGGGGGTTGCCGCGGTACTCAAAGGAGCAGCTTAGAATGCGGTGCAGTACGGTGCGCGGGTGGGTGAAGGACATTCAGTTTCTGCAGGAGCTGCTGCCGCCTGAAGTCACCTGGGACCCCACCACTCAGTGCTTCAATGCCGACCCCGAGGTGAGGCGGTGAGAGGGCGAGGTGAGGCGGTGAGAGGGAGAGGTGAGGCGGTGAGAGGGCGAGGTGAGGCGGTGAGAGGGCGAGGTGAGGCAGTGAGAGGGTGAGGTGAGGCAGTGAGAGGGTGAGGTGAGGCAGTGAGAGGGTGAGGTAAGAGAGCGAGGTGAAAGACCGAAGTGAAAGGCCGAGGTGAAAGGCTGAGGTGAAAGGCTGAGGTGAGAGGGCGCAGTGAGAGGGCGAGGTGAGAGAGCTCAAAGTACGCCGTGGTTTGTCCGCCACCCAAAGGTGGTTGTTCTTTAAGGTTTGCCACCCTCCTCTGCCTCCTCCGCCTCCTCTCTCTCACGGAAGCCCTGCACGGCAACGACCACACTCCTCTTCCCTCCCTCCCTTCACTCCGTTGCTCCTATCCCCCTTACCCCCCTTTCCCCGCTCCCTCCACCCCCCCACCGACCTCTTCAGCTGGGCATCAGCCTGTGGCTGAAGCAGCACGGGCGGTGGGAGCACTACAGGCGGTGGTGCACTCACACGGCACCCTGGCTGCCGCTTGCGCTGCTCAATGTTCACACATGCCCTGCTGAGGTGGAGTGGGAAGAGGATGAGGAGTGGGAGGAGGAGGATGAGGAGGAGGAGGATTGGAGAGAAGGGGAGGGAGAGGAGGAGGATGGGGAAGAGGAGGAGGATGGGGTTGGGAATGGTGGTGTCGACCGTGCAGCTGACGCACCGCGGGCCAATGGTGTTCCGCATGCTGAGGAGGCACGCAACAATGTCACCTTTGCTGATGTGGCTCGTGCTGCGGACGGGGCTCGTGCTGACGTGGCGTGTGCTGACGTGGCTCGTGTGGGTGGGACTGGTGGTGCAAGTGCGGATGAGAGGGACGAGTACCCTGCGAGGCTGGCAGCGCGGATTGCTGATATGGCAGCGAGCAGGAGGGAGCAAGGCGGCACTGAGAGGCTCGGGGTTGAGGGCGAGGGGGATGGAGGAGGAGGAGGAGATGGAGGAGGAAATGGGGTGGGGAAGAGGCAGGGAAGAGAGAGAAGGGAGGAGGGGAGAGGGGGGAGGGGTGTAAAGCGGTCAAGACCGGTGTGGTTGCAGGCGAGGGAGAGGCAGCGGCAGCGGCGGGTGATGGAGAGTGTGGCACGTGCCCTCAAGAGCATGGCGGAGAAGGGGCAGCCGCACGTGCACAGAGGTAGGTGATGAGAAGGCACAGATGGGATGGGATGGGATGGGATGGGATGCGATTCGATGTGATGGGATGCGATGGGATGCGATGCGATGCGATGTGATGTGAAGGCACGACTTCCTTGCAGTGTCAAATCTGTCCAGGATTAGAGTAACAAATGCTGCTGGAGCCAAGCAGACATGGCAGGAGATCTGATGTCAAAATGAGCAACATGTTGATAGCAACAGTAGCTATTATAATCATGATAACTGTTAAACTTAACCCCTTTTTTTTTCCCTTCCCACCGCTCCCTTCCAACCCCTCTCACTGTCAGATGCGGTGGCAGACAGTGTGTTCAAGTTGGTGCAGGATGTGCAAACATCGCCTTCATTCTTACTCGGAGAGAAATAGATTCTACCCAGATTACGAGACTTAGCTCGTTCTAGTCTCCGCTGATTTATGCTTCGGCGAAGTAGGGATTGAGTAAGCAAGGAACTATCATTCCAAGACTGAGCGTACGCGCGTTTCAGCACAATGGCCTTCGTCAGCGCTCTCAAATTTTTTTTTCTTGTAATCCTGAGAGCGCTGACGAAGGTCATTGTGCCGAAACGCACGTACGCTCACTCTACGAATGAAATTTCATTGCTTACTCAATCCCTACCTAGCCTAAGCATAGATCAGCGGAGACTAGAGCGAGCTAAGTTTGGTGATCTGGGTCGAATATATTTCTCTCTTTCCACCCACCTGCTTCCCGAACTTAACCCCCTCTCCCCTCGACCCTTTTTTCTTCCCCACCAGACGTGGTGGCTGACGGTGTGTCTAAGTCGGTGCAAAGTTTCTCCTCTCGAGCTCTTTCTGAGCCATCTGAGAACACAGCTTTGGCCTCCCCTTCTCTCCCCACCCCCACCCCCCCACCAGACGCGGTGGCGGACAGCGTGGTGAGGGCGGTGCAGGCAGTGCGTGGCGGCCATCGACGCCTTCCTGCAGCGCCCCCTCGACGCCCACGCCTTCCAGGCCATGAGCCCCGCCCTGCAGACCCTCTTCGCCCGCCGCGCCCACGCCCACGCCGTTGACCGCCAGCTCGCCGGCGTGCAGGCTGCTGCTGCTGCTGGGGGGAATGCGCCCCTCACAGATCAGCAGCTTGGGGGGCTGCAAGGTGTGGCTGGGGGTGCTGGTGTGGTGGGGGGAACTGCGGGGGTGGGAACGGCGGGGGTGGGAACGGCGGGGGTGGGAACGGCGGGGGTGGGAACAGCGGGGGTGGGAACAGCGGGGGTGGGAACAGCGGGGGTGGGAACGGCGGGGGTGGGAACGGCGGGGATGGGAACGGCAGGGGTGGGAACGGCGGGTGTGGGAACAGCGGGGGTGGGGACGGTGGGGTTGGGCATGGGGAGTACAGGAATGGGGGCAATGGGAAGTGGGGGGACGAGCATGGTGGGAACTGTAACAGGGGGAACGCGGATGGGGGAAACAGGATTCGGTTCGAGGGGATTGGGGATGGTGGGGCAAACGGGGGCAGTGGGAGGGATGGCAGGAGGTGGGGGTGTGGCAGGAGGTGGGGGTCTGGGTGTGGGAACGGCAGCAGCAGGTACAGTAGCAGCAGCCTCAGCAAGAGAAGGGAGGGATGTACAAGGTATGGGAGGGGCGGGAGGGGGAGTAGGGGAAACTGGGGCGGCAGCAGGGGCAAGAGGAGCAGGAGGGTTGGGCGGCACACAAGGGGTGGGCGGCACACAAGGGGCGTGCGGCACACAAGGGGCGGGCGGCATGGCAGGGCTGCAGGTGTTGGGGCCTCGCGTGCAGGAGTTGATGCAGGAGCTGGTTAGAGAGATCCTGGGAGCAGTCAACGCGAGTCAACAGATGGTCAGCACGGGTCAACAGGCAGTCAATAGAGGTCAAGGGGCGGTCAATGCAGGTCAAGGGGCAGTCAATGCAGGTCACACGAGGTTAAGTGGCAACGGGATTCGATGCGAGTGCCATGAGTGTGTGGCTGCTAGATGGGCGATGAGAACACGTGAAGGCACAGTCAATGCGGGTCAAGATGTAGTCAACGCGAGTCAACCAGTGGTCAATGCGGATCCAAGTAGGGGAGTGGTAGTGAATCAAGTGGAGACAGCTGTCGGCCAATCAGGGTTGGGTGCAGGTCGTGTGGGAACGGCTGCTGTGCTAGGGACAAGGAATGCTGGTCAGGCACCAGTCAACGCCGGTCAAGCACCAGTCAACACTGGTCAAGCACCAGTCTCTGTTCAAGCAGCAGTCAACGCCGGTCAAGCACGAGTCAGCGTTGGTCTAACACGAATTAACACTGGTCACACAACAGTCAACGCCGGTCAAGCACGAATCAACGCCGGTCGAGCACGAATCAATGCTGGCCAAGCACGAGTCAATGCTGGTCACGCAGCAGCCAATGTCAGTCAAGCGCGAGTCAACGATGGTCAAGCACGAGTCAACGATGGTCAAGCACGAGTCAGCAATGGTCAAGCACCAGTCAACGCGGGTCAAGCACGAATAAACGCTGGTCAAGCAGCAGTCAACACTGGTCAAGCACCAGTCAATACTGGTCACGCAGCAGTTAACGCCAGTCAAGCACGAGTTAATGCTGGTCAAGCACCATTCAGCGCTGGTCAAGCACTGGTCAACGCTGGTCAAGCACCATTCAACGCTGGTCAAGCACCATTCGCTGCTGGACAAGCACCAATCAACGCGTTTCAAGCACTGGTCAATGCTGGTCAAGTACCATTCAACGCTGATCAAGCACTGGTCAATGCTGGTCAAGCACCATTCAACGCATTGGTCAATGCTGGTCAAGCACCATTCACTGCTGGTCAAGCACTAGTCAACGCTGGTCAAGCACCAATCAACGCGTTTCAAGCACTGGTCAATGCTGGTCAAGTACCATTCAACGCTGCTCAAGCACTGGTCAATGCTGGTCAAGCACCATTCAACGCTGGTCAAGCACCATTCACTGCTGGTCAAGCACTAGTCAACGCTGGTCAAGCACCAATCAACGCGTTTCAAGCACTGGTCAACGCTGGTCAAGCACCATTCAACGCTGGTCTATGGGCTGCTAATGCAGGTGGAGGGGTGGGCCAAGGCAGAGTAGAGGGAGGAAGGGGGGGAGGGGGAGATGGGGTATGGAGGGACGCAGCAATCCTGCAGCTGCTGTTGAAGCTGCTGCAAGGCCAGGCGAAGGAGACAGGTGGGGCTGGAGCGCGGGGACAGGGGGAAAACGGTGGGCAAGGAAGGGAGCAGGGAGGGGAGCAGGGAGGGTTAGGTGCTGGTGGTGTGGGAGCAGGTGCTGTGCTACAGACAAGATATGCTGGTCAAGCACCAGCCAACTTTGGTCTATGGGCTGCTAATGCAGGTGGAGGGATGGAAGGAAGAGGAGGGGCTTGGAGGGAAGCATCGATGGTGGAACTGTGGCAGCTGCTGCAAGGCCAGGCAAAGGAAAGGGGTGGGGCTGTGGCGAGGGGACAGGGGGAGAATGGCGGGCAAGGAGTGGAGCAGGGAGGGCAGCAAGGAGTGGAGCAGGGAGGGCAGCAGGGAGTGGAGCAGGGAGGAGAGCAGGGAGGGGGACGGGGAGAGGGGCAGGGAGGGGTACAGGAAGGGGGGCAGGGAATGAGGCAGGGAGTGGCGCAGGGAGGGGAGCCGGGAGTGGGAGAGGAAGAGGGACATGGAGCTGGGCAGGGAGGGAATGAGGGAGCGGATGAGAGAGTGGGGCCAGTCAGCTTGCCGGGGGGAAGCGCCAGTGGAGGGGGGGTGTTCACGCTGTCGCACCGCTGTGTGGCGGACGGGCCGGCAGGGCAGTGGAGCCTGTGCAGCATCGTTGCCAATTTCGCCAAAATGGTGGCCGCGCAGGGTGGGCTGGGGGGCGCGCAGGGTGGGCTGGGGGGCGCGCAGGGTGGCCTGGGGGGCGCGCAGGGTGGCCTGGGGGGCGCCCAGGGTGGGCTGGGGGGCGCCCAGGGTGGGCTGGGGGGCGCCCAGGGTGGGCTGGGGGGCGCACAGGGTGGCCTGATGGGGGTTGCTACTGGGGGAGGAGTGCCCGCAGCAAGCGATCTGAGGGGGAGTGGTGGTAGGGGAGAGGTGGCTGTGCCGAGTGGAGGAAGGGGTGGTGGTGGGGGAGGAGAGGTGGCTGTGCCGAGCAATGGTGGTGAGGGTGCTAGGGGAGATGTACGCATGTTGGGAGGAGGAGGGGGGAGTGATAGTGGAGGGGAGGAGGGGGTGGGCATTGTGGTCGAAAGGAGTGAGGCGGGAGAGGAGGGAGAGGAGGGAGAGGCGGGGGAGGAAGGAGGAGCGAGAGAGGAGGGAGGGGCGGGAGAGGAGGGAGGGGCGAGAGAGGAGGGAGGGGCGGGAGAGGAGGGAGGGGCGGGAGAGGAGGGAGGGGCGGGAGAGGAGGGAGGGGCGGGAGAGGAGGGAGGGGCGGGAGAGGAGGGAGGGGCGAGAGAGGAGGAGAGGAGGGGGAGGGGAGGGAGGGGCGGGAGAGGAGGGAGGGGCGAGAGAGGAGGGAGGGGCGGGAGAGGAGGGAGGGGCGGGAGAGGAGGGAGGGGCGAGAGAGGAGGGAGGGGCGGGAGGGACGGGGAGGGGCGGGAGAGGAGGGAGGGGCGGGAGAGAGGAGGGAGGGGCGGGAGAGGAGGGAGGGGCGAGGAGAGGGGGGAGGGGCGGGAGAGGAGGGAGGGGCGAGAGAGGAGGGAGGGGGGGCGAGAGAGGAGGGAGGGGCGGGAGAGGAGGGAGGGGCGGGAGGGACAGGAGGGGCGGGAGGGGTGGGAGAGGTGAGGCCAGGGGGAGGTGGAGAGGGACGGGGGCCTGGAGAGGGAGGGGGGTGTGTAGAAGGAGGGGGGAATGGGGGAGGGGGAGGTGGAGAGGAACGGAGGGTTGGAGAAGGAGGGGAGGGTGGAGGGTTGGGCGGCACAGGTTGGCTAGGCGGCATGGCAGGGCTGAAGCTGCTGGGGCATCGCGTGCAGGAGTTTGTCGGAAGAGAGAGCCTGGGAGCAGTCAACGCGAGTCAACAGATGGCCAGAACATGTCAACAGGCAGGCAATGCTGGTGGAGGGGCAGTCAATGGTGGTCAAGGGGCAGTGTTTGCTGGTGGAGGGGCGGTGAACATGCGCCAATCAGCAGTGAATCAAGGTCCATGGGAAGGAGTGGGTGCAGGCCAAAGGGCAGTCAATGCTGGTCAAGCAGCAGTCAACGCAGGTCAAGGGGCAGTGAACGCTGGTCAAGAAGTAGTCAACGCAGGTCAAGGGGCAGTGAACGCTGGTCAAGAAGTAGTCAACGCAGGTCAAGGGGCAGTGAACTCTGGTCAAGAAGTAGTCAACGCAGGTCAAGGGGCAGTGAACGCTGGTCAAGAAGTAGTCAACGCAGGTCATGGGGCAGTGAACGCAGGTCACACGGGGATGACTGGCAATCCAGTGGTGGTCAACGGGCTTCAATGCAAGTGCCGTGAGTGTCTGGTTGCTACCTTGGCGGCCAGAATACGTGAAGGTGCAGTCAATCTGAGTCAAGCAGCAGTCAGTCCGATTCAACCAGCAGTCAATCCGATTCAAGCAGCAGTCAATCCGATTCAAGCAGCAGTCTATGTGGCGAGTCAACTTGTGGCCAATGCGGATCCAAGGAGGAGAGTGGCAGCGAATCAGGTGGAGACAGATGTCGGTCAACAAGGGTTAAATGCAGGTCGTGCAGTCAACGCTGGTCAAGCACCAGTCAACGCTGGTCAAGCACCAGTCAACGCTGGTCAAGCACCATTCAATGCTGGTCAAGCACTGGTCAACACAGGCCACGCACTGGTCAACGTGGGTCAAGCACCAGTCAACGCTGGTCAAGCACCAGTCAACGCTGGTCAAGCACCAGTCAACGCTGGTCAAGCACCAGTCACCTATGGTCTTTGGGCTGCTAATGCAGGTGAAGGGGGGGTGGGTCAAGGCAGAACAGAGGGAGGAGGAGTGGAAGGATGAGGAGGGGCTTGGAGGGAATCAACGATCGTGGGACTGCTGCAGCTGCTCCTGCAAGGCAAGGCAAAGGAAAGGAGCGGGGCTGTGGCGAGGGGACAGGGGGAGACTGGCGGACAAAGAGTGGAGCAGGGAGGGCAGCAGAGAGAGGAGCAGGGAGGGCGGCAGGGAAGGGTGCCGGGATGGGGACAGGGAGCGGGACAGGCAGGGGAGCAGGGACGGGAGCAGGGACGGGAGCAGGGAGGGGAGCAGGGAGGGGAGCAGGGAGGGCAGCAGGGAGGGGGAGAGGCAGGGGAGCAGGGAGGGGAGCAGGGAGGGCAGCAAAGAGGAAATCAGGGAGGGGAACAGAGAGTGGGAACGGTGAGCATGCCGGGCGGGAGCGACAGTGGAGGGGGCTACTTTACGGTGTCGCACCGCTGTGTGGCGGACGGGCCGGCAGGGCAGTGCAGCCTGTGCAGCATCATGGCCGATTTTGTCCGAGTGGTGGGCGCCCACGGTGGCCTGGGGGGGGTTGTTGGTGGGGGAGGAGTGCCTTCAGCAGGTGACCTGAGGGGGAGTGGTGCAGGGGAAGAAGTGGCTGTGCCGAGAAGAGGAGGGGAGGATGGTGGGGGAGAGGTGCGCTTGTCGGGGGGAGGAGGGGGGATTGGTGGTGGAGGGGCAGAGAGGGTGGGGGTTGCGGGTGAGGGGGGTGAGACGGGAGAGGTGAGGGCAGAGGTGGGTGGAGAGGCACAGGGGGATGGAGGAGGGGGTAGTGGAGAAGGAAGTGGGGGCGGAGAGGGACAGGGGGTTGGAGACAAACTATCGCAAAGCCAATGCAGCCAAAGCAGGTCAAGGGGCGGCCAAAGCAGGTCAAGGGGCGGTCAATGCAGGTCAAGGGGCGGCCAATGCAGGTCAAGGGGCGGCTTTGAGTGGAGAGAAGGACTCGAGTTCAAGGGAGGATGAGGGTGAGGATGAGGGTGCTGCTTGGGGAACGAGTGATAGCGAGGAGTCGAGTGAAGGGAGGGGAATGATGTGTGCGAGTGATGAGGTTATCGTGCTTGAGGAGGGCGATGTGATTATGGGGGAGGCAGGAAATCCTGAGGGGGAAGCGGCCATGAGTGTAGTTGGAGGGGACCTCATTATGGGGGAAGGGACGACTGTGGGGGGAGGGGGCATCAATGGAACGGGAGGAGTGTCGAGTTGAAAGGAGGGGGAAACGAGTGGGAGGGAGGGAGAGGCGCGTGGAAAGGAGGGGGAAACGAGTGGGAGGGAGGGAGAGGCGAGCGCAAGCGCAGCCATGAGACGCAGGCGCAGCACATGAGACAGCGCAAGCGCATCACATGAGACATCGCAAGCGCAGCACATGAGACAGCGCAAGAGCAGCACATGAGACAGCGCAGGCGCAGCACATGAGATAGCACAAGCGCAGCATATGAGACACAAGCGCAGCACATGAGACAGCGCAAGCGCAGCACATGAGACAGCGCAAGCGCATCACATGAGACATAGCAAGTGCAGCACATGAGACAGCGCAAGCGCAACTATGAGACGCAAGCGCAGCACATGAGACAGCGCAAGCGCATCACATGAGACCTCGCAAGCGCAGCACATGAGATAGTGCAAGCGCAACACATGAGACAGCACAAGCGCAGCATATGAGACGCAAGCGCAGCACATGAGACAGCGCAAGCGCATCACATGAGACCTCGCAAGCGCATCACATGAGACCTCGCAAGCGCATCACATGAGACCTCGCAAGCGCACCACATGAGACAGCGCAGGCGCAGCACATGAGACAGCGCAAGCGCAGCATATGATACGCAAGCGCAGCACATGAGACATAGCAAGCGCATCACATGAGACATAGCAAGCGCAGCACATGAGACAGCGCAAGCGCAGCATATGAGACGCAAGCGCAGCATATGAGACGCAAGCGCAGCACATGAGACAGTGCAAGCGCAACAAATGTGACAGCGCAAGCGCAGCACATGAGACCTCGCAAGCGCGTCACGAGAGAGAACGCTAGCGCAGCACAAGGGGGAGCAGAATAGCAGCAGGGTTTCATTGAAATTTGCAGCACAAGTGAGAGCGGCCACGCAGCACAGTAGAGAGCAGACATGTAGCATGGGAGAGAGCTGACATGCGGCACGGGAGACAACGCAAGTGCAACACATGAGATAGCGCAAGCACAGCACATGAGACAGCGCAAGCGCAGCACGGGAGAGAGCGGAAATGCATCACTGAAGAGAACGCAAGCACAGCATGGGCGAAAGCGGCCAAATAGCACGGTAGAGAGCGGAAATGCAGCATGGGAGAGAGCGCAAGCGCGACACGGGTGAAAGCGGAAATGCAGCAAATGAGAATGCAGAAATGCGACACGAGAGAGAGCTCACCGCAAGGCTGCCCGACGACGACTAACGGTGCGCGATCCCGCGACGCGCAGTGAAGCAAGGCTCGAGGATGATCGTATGAGGCAAGGTAGCGGTTGGAAAAACGACAACGCATGAGCATCTGTGGTAATGCGGCACCGTGCTAGAATGTTGTGTGGATGGGAAGGGCGATTGGTGAGGGGTGCAGTGGAGGACTGCTAGTTTGTTAGTGGAAGGGGAGTGCAGTTGGATGTGAAGTGACGATGGGGGCTAGATCATGGCGAGTCAGCATCGCGATGTGATGCAGTAAGCGAGGGGATATTAGGAGCTCACTGAAATGCAGCGAGATACCTATCGCCAGTTCGCGATACCGCTGTTGGAGTGGTTCGTAACAACCACACACAACTAATGGTAAATCCTGGAGTTAAGGTAATTTGTGTTTCGTGAGATGCAGGTTTGTTTGCTTTACGTGTGAGTGTTTACGGTTCGTGAATCGCCTCAGCGGTTCATGAGTTATGAGCGTTTCCGTGAAGGTTTGAGTCTGTGAGAGTTCATGTATGTTCGTGTGTGTTTGTGTTATTTCGTGAGTTCCGAGTTTTCGTGTGCGTTCGTGTGATTTCATGATTTTTGCGAGTCACGAGTGTTTGTGAAAGAGTCGTAAATGTTCATGAGTGTTTCATGAAGTGTTCGTGAACTTTCGTGCGAGTTTGTGAGATTTTCTGGTAAAGTTTGTGAGATGCGTTTTTGTGTGATTTGAGTGCTTTCGTAATTTCGTGCCTGTTCATGGGAGTTCGGGGGATTTCGCCCCTGGTCAAGATATTGAAGGGGTGCCGAGCACTGTACTGATTCTGGCGCAATCATGGGAGTGGCGCCAACAGGGCAAATCTTCCGTTTTTGAAGGCACGGAAGGCTCCGGGTTCGCCTGAGAAAAGACCCTGAAGAATCAGTATTCCCTCGAAAGTTTCCCTTCCGCATCCGTGTGTTTTTCCGGAAATCCGAAAATGCACAGGAGCAGTTCTATCACCCTAGGCGCAAGTGGCTCTAAACGGTCTAAGTTGGGTGGGCAGGACCAACAGCCCTGAGATTTACATCATGTCTGGCAGCACTTATGGGCATCGTTGCATTCGACATCCTACACAAGAACTGGTACCGAACTGGTACCGAGCTAAAATATCAGGATTGTTTTCGAAACAATACTGAAGTCCCCGATCGCTTAGCCAAATCATCCTTAAATGGTCCGGATGATTTCTAAAACGATTCTGATGAATCAGGGTTAGCCGAAAAAACATACGGAATGTACCTGAGTTTCAGAGTGTTTACCCGGATACCGAGAGCCCTGGGCGCCAAATGGTAGGAGTGTGCCAGCATGTGCACACACGAGGCCTGAGGCTGCAGGTGGATTCGCCACACGCCCAAGTGGGGTGTGCAGGTGGCGGGAGGGAAAAAGCCGAGAAATCGTGGGTCCAGGTTGGATTTCGTGGGACCCTCGAGTATTTTGTCTGCATTATCCGAGGAGAAAAATCGCCAGGATGTTTCACGAAGTGCGCGATTAATTTCGAAGCTGGTGCGAAATGTGCGAGGGGGATTTCGACGATTTCGTAATTTCGTCACGTAACTGAGCGAATTCTTCAGGAGATTCCGTGAGCTGTCACGAAGCTGTCGCCACGAACGGCCACGAGCGTCCACGAGTGTCCACGAGCGTTCGCGAGCAAGTATGGCCCATAGAATCCAGTGTGGGCGAGTATGTTGCCAGCAATTTCGCATGGTGCAAGTGTTGGAAGTGGACACTGGAATGGCCCAAAAAGTGGTCTCCCTAAGGGCTACAGGTGTCGTCCTCGGGGGGTATGGGTGCGCTGACCCACCAAGGAAATATGCCCTTTGACCCAGTTGGTTAGTGAACTGGGTCCGTTGTCCGGGGGGCCAGGGTTCAAATCCTGCTGTCATCGCTTTCAGTGGAGTGAGAGCGAACTGTCCTTCCTCTGGGTGAGGCCACTCCTAGTGAGGGGAGTGTGGAAAGGACACTAGGATTGGCCTCTGGCTTGGTCGGAAGGGCTACAAGCTGAGTGCTTGGGAGGCGTGGGCGCGCTTACCCGCTATACAAACATGCCCTTTTAGCCCAGTTGGTTAGCGAACTGGACATGGTGCGGTGAGCGTGGAGGACCAGGGTTCGATTCCTGCTGTTGGCGACTTCCTGTGCCCTAGTGGTGGGCCCTCCCAGTGAGGGGAGTGTTGGAAGTGGACACTGGAATGGCCCAAAAAGTGGTCTCCCTAAGGGCTACAGGTGTCGTCCTGGGGGGGTTTGGGTGCGCTGACCCACCAAGGAAACATGCCCTTTTAGCCCAGTTGGTTAGCGAACTGGACAGCAAGGTGACATTTCTAGCTATCATTTCGGTAGGCTGTTTGCTTTTGATTTCGGTGGGTTAGTATAAATCATTGCTTGTTCTTGTTTGTTCTCAACCTTTTCAGAATCATCTTCTATTGAGAATTGGTTCCTCTTTCATCCTATTGACGTGAAGAGTATTGTGGAGACGAGATAAGTGATCAACAAGACGCTGCGCATTTAAGTGTGTGTGACCGCTCTAGTGCGTATACACTTGGAGAACCGTGGACCTAAGGATGAGGCCCGGTGGAGAACACTTAGTGTGATTTAAGTGGTGCGCATAGAGTGGCCTAAGGGATAATAGTAGCCAACAAGTGGTATCAGAGCTGGTGAAACGACGTTTTAGCATTCTTAAGAGCGGACGAAGCCTTCAAGATGACGGGTGGTCAATCGGAGGCTAGTTCGGGCTCCTCTGTGAGCATTGGAGATCCCCATGTGAAGGCTCTTCTGGAAATGCTAGCGCAAGGAACGGTGGTGACCAAGCCCACCATAGGGCTGAGCGAAGCCCAACGGTTTCACGGGAAAAACCTACAGTACATGGCGCTTGAAGTTCATCAGGAGAGCAAAGGAAATCGGTTATTGGGAGTACTACCGACCGGATAAAGAGGGCGACGCAGCTGCGAGGAAGGCGAAAACGGATGAAGAAAAGGCGGCATACAAAAGGAGGAGTGAGCAAGCATTTTTTCAGTTGTGCCACTCAGTTTCTGATGGAATTGCTGTGGGAATGGATCAGTTTGCAGAACATGAAGACCCTGCACGACAAGCATGGGTGTACATGGAGTCGGTCTACCTAGGCCAAATGGAGAGCAACATAGCTGCGGTGCGGAGGAAATTGTTGCTGATGAGCATGGAGCCAAATCAGAAGATCATTGACTACATCAACCTCGCTAGGAGCTACAACGACGACTTGGCTGCGATGGGTGCAGAGGAAAGCGAGCGTGCGATGATGGGATACATCATCAACGGACTGCCAAAAGATTGGGCGGGAGAGAAGTCGGCGCTGATCTGCAACCCGCCTGCAAACATGACGAGGCTACTCGAGATGCTTCAAGCATTGGAGTTGGCACGAGAAGATTCCAAGCGGAGGGAGAAAGCGGTTGAAGGCATGGAGCAGGAGAAACCTGCATTGCTGAATGCGGCAGCTGCGGGAAGAACCTCGGGAGCGTGTTACCAATGTGGTAAGATGGGGCACCGTGCGTTTGAGTGCGTGGAGAACCCAAGAAGCAGAAATTACAAAGGGAACGGTACGGAATGGCAGCAGAGACGCGGATTTAGCGGCAAATGTGACTATTGTGGCCGAGATGGACATCGGGCGGCGGAGTGCTACAACAACCCGAACAGCAAGTGCTATAAAGGTCCGTCACAGCAGCAGCAACAGCAGCAGCAGAACGTGGCGGCAAAGGCTAATGTGGCGGAAGCTGAAACGGAAAAAGAGGACGTAATTTTGGGGGGAGT